TGTGTTGTTGGTGGGGGGGGGGGAGTGGGGGGTGTTCTTTTTAGGAGGTCTTGGGTCCAGGAAGCCCTGGGGGTGGGCGAAGGCAAGAACTGGAGCCCATTCCTAGCTCTAGCGAGGTGAGGCTGAACAAGGCCTGACTGCTTTAAGCCCAAGCCCCAGGAGGCAGCTGATGAAAAGAACCAGGCCTAGGACTAGAGGGCCACCCTTCCCCCAGCCCCTCTATTGCTGGGGTGACACTCACGCATGAGGACAGATGTACTTGACATGAGGAAGCCGGATGGTGGAGAGGGCGTCAGCCCAGCTGTGCCTGTGGGAGGGAAGAAGGGGAACACGTGGGGGGAGGGTTGAGAGGGACAATGACCTTCCAGCCCCACTGATGAAGGAGCATCCCACCCCTCAGCTCACTCACCCTGTGTCTCCAAGTCCATGTAAAAAAATAACCTGGAAAAAAGACAAAAATGGGATGGGAAGGTCCCCCTTTAGATCCTCCAACTCCTGCTTGCCCCTCCACTGCCCCCCCCAGACCTGGGGGGACCAAAGTGGGAGCCAAGAGATTATTAGCTTCGGGCTAGTTAGTCCCGTCTCACACAGCCACCTCCATGTTTCCCACACTGCCTACAGCCAGTTGCCTCCCACAAGTCTGGCCCAGGGGTCCTTACCGCGGCCGTTTCCCGCTCAGCTCCAGACACGGTGGCAGCGTCAGTGAGCAGGGGCACAGACATGGCGTTACCACACATACACTGCAGGGCTTCCTGCAGGCTGGGCCTGGGCAAGGGAAGGTGGTAGGTCAGGCAGGAGAAACCTGCTTTAAGAACCCCCTAGGCCGGGCGGTGGTAACGCACGCCTTTAGTCCCAGCACTCAGGAGGCAGAGGCAGGCGGGTCTCTGTGAGTTTGAGGTCAGCCTGGTCTACACAGCGAGTGCCAGGACAGGCTCCAAAGCTACACAGAGAAACCCTGTCTCAGAAAAAAAAAAAAAAGAAAAGAAAAAGAAGAAGAAGAAGCCCACCTAGGCCATCAGCTCTACTTACACACCACGACCGTTTGATTCTGAGCCAAGGGAAAATACAGGCAAAGAGAAGTCTGGGCCAGAGAGGTAGAAGGTTGGCCCTTGCCAGATGGCACACACCTTTAATACCAGCACTCAAGAGTTTGAGATCAGCTTAATCTACAGAATGAGTTCCAGGACAGCCAGGGCTAGACAGAGAAACCCTGCCTTGAAAGACGAGAAAAGAAAGTTGGCCCGGTCCCAAAGTTGAGAAGCAGCAGGGGCAGCCATCCTCATGGTCTAGAACTCACATCCCTGGTTCTGACCTAAGGGGGTACAGATGGGCTGGCACGGGGGTTGGAAGGTTGGAAGTGGGGGACAAGGAAAGGCAGGACGTTTCTTGCAGCCTTCCCCCATAAGCCGCTGAGTGCTAAGACCTCCTCCCAAGGTCCCAGGTATCCCCTTCCCGGAACCCCTGGAGCCCCTCTTGCCTGAATCCCAGCCCTAGAGACGAAGGCAAACAGGCGTTCAGTCCCACCCACCTCCCCATCTTCTCCATCTCCCCTCTTCTTCCCCTCCAGCCCCTGTCCAGTCTTCACAGCAGTTTCTGGCTCAGAAATTCCTAGGGCCTCTGGAAGCCACCCATGTCCCACGAGAGCCTAACAACTCCCTTCTGCCATCTTCCACCACAAACTGGTGCTCCAAGCCTTCCCACCTCCACGGGGCTACCTGCTGTTGCTGCTGCCACTGACTGCAAATGGGTCTCCAAATGAACAGGTGTTGGGACTCCCGACACAAAAGAATATCAGGCTGGCTGGCCCCTCCCCATCCTTAGCATCCTCCAAACTCGGGAAGCTTCCGCTACCTGCCTCTGAGTGTCTTCTTAAGGGCGCCCCGCCCTCCTGTAGGCTCCCACCCTCCAGCTCTGACCCCGATTGCCCCTCAAGGTAGGAAGATCACACAGCATCTTTCCACACCTCTGACCCCGAGGTTCCTCTTCCCACAGGAAATGCACCTGCCGCCCTAAGCTAGGATCCTCTTTCTCCTCGGCTCTGGGGACTCCCACCTCCACCCGGCTCCCACTCTCCAAAGGATGACCCGGCGTCTCCCATTTGCCACAGTGGGAACTTGAGTTCTGACCCAGGGTCATCGCATCCCTACAGTGGCATCTGCTGCCCTGCTCGGGGCTCGCACCAGCCCACAAAGGGGCACCGACCCGGGGGAGCCTCCGCCCCACAATGGGGTCTCCCACTGCCCAGC